TAGCTATACAATCAGACATCTATGAATCAAAGATATTTATGCTTTCAGAGATACCTAACTTTCAGAATAATCTAATCTTTTCAAATTACAATTATTCAAAAATTTATTTTAAAAAGTATCACATGTGATGTATCAACTGATGTCGAATATATTGTGTCTTTTAACAAAATTCAAAAGCATAAGAAAATTTCCATAATAATGTTGCAGCTCCCTTATAGTCATGAAATTGATTCACAGTAGTTTTAACAGCTTAATATGAAACATAGCCTAATCAGTGAAATTAAAACATCTAAGTGTTCCTTTTAAATCTTATTTTTTTGTAATTTGTCCAGATCCTAAGATTCAAAGTTTTTTTTTTTATTAGTTTTTTTGTGCCAGGCAACAGTTCTGGACATTGAATGTCACTGTTGTCTCTCCTGACTTTTTCCTTTTTTTTTTTGTAAGTGCTCCCTATCAAATGGCAATTTGAATGCGCTATCCTGGCGTCAACCAGGCTCGGTCGAACACAAGCACCTTCGGACCATAACCAAGGTTCCCCCAAAGTCGCATTCGTTAGTGAATGAATCTCGGCCAGTGGAATTGGCCTTCCCATTGAGTCTGTGGCACACTCACCCAGGGTAGGGGTCGACCCTTTTGATGTTCAGCCTAAGGTTGGACTTGAACTTGGGTCTACCGATCTACGTCTGATGCGGCAACCATTATGCTACCAGTGACCGGTTAATGTTCTTTCAATTTCATAAATTTTGCATTCAAATACACCTAAAACCATGATAATTTCAAAACAGAAATCACATTTCTTAGTGGCAATTTTGCTTATCGAAAGTACTGCTAAGCAAATATGATTACCAACTTACTATGGTATAATATGATATGTTATGAATTGTATTCAGTACAATGGCCTCAGGCCCATGGTACAATAAATCAAAAAAATACATATAGAGAGAGTCCTTTAAATAATTACTGAATCTACAAGTCATAACTGGTTAAGCAGATTTTGTCAATGCTTAGAAGCGTAGAATATAAATTTTGAAAGTACAGATAAGTTGTCAAACTGCATTAAACGAAGAAATTTTGTTTGATTTGACTGATAAAATAGAGGTAAATATTCTTTTCTAGGATTTTCATAACCAACTTACTAAGATCATCTTCTTCTTGTTCTGGTAATGAATGGATGTTGGGAGGAGAAACATGCACATGTGATGTTTGATACCACGGCATTCCAGAATTATGCGTCTCTTGTATAAATCCCTGTCTCTCATCCTTCTGAGATTTGGCCAGTGCTTCTTTGACTGTTCCAGGAGAATAGAAAATAGGTTATTTTTTGTACAATTGCGAGATGCATGAAAGACGCGCGTCGAATGTCTGCCGCAAAAATCAAACGATTTGATTTTGAACTAGAATTTCTTTATTTCGCAGCTTACATTGACCGGCCGATCTTCGACAGAGGAATATTGCTTCCGAATACCCTCACTTAATCGAAATTGTCTATCATCAAATGTGGACAGCACATTATTAAGCATGGAAATGTCCCCGAAATACGCGTTTGTCGAATCCCACGCGATGTTTGATGCGACTACGATGCTATGACCTTTGTTTGTCCTGTTTTTACGTTCGATTTCACACATAACGCGTGATTCTCGCAGTGAACGGAAAATGGTCTATTGAAAAAACCTTTATCCAAGCACATACATTTATAACTAAAGACACCAGAGTATACAGAGAAAGGTTACTTTTCGCGGCAAACAAAAGAAATTGAATGATGTGCCACTCTAGGCGTGTCCCATTTTATTTCATAAACGTCAGGGTTTGTGCAACAAGTCCACACCTGCCACAATTTTTCTTGTAGTTTATGGCAACTATTTTGTAAAAACATGTGGTATTATACAAGTTTATTGGGAAATAGTTTGAGGTACCGCTTTACATGTACTGTGACATAGACTTGTTTTGCTTTGAAAACTTGCATGTACATATGTATGATCATATTTGAGGTTAAATTCAACATTTTGAATATTTTCACACATTTTTCCACAATTTCTACAGATTATGAATAAAAATTTTGAAAAAATATGAAAAGCAGTATGCATGTTTTTTCTGTAATATGTAACAAAATTTGAGACTTGGGGTCAAAAGTCAATTTGTTAAACTCTATACTGTGTCTTTACTTGGACTCCCTCTTTCAGAGAGGGAAGAGAGGAGGAG